GGGCCGGGAGCGCCGGGCTCTGCCGCGCGGGCGCCCGAACCCCAGCCCGGCCCCGGATCTCGCGGCTGGGTCCGGAGAATGGGCCCAGCGGCCTTGGGAAAGGGCGCCCCCTGCTGGTGACAGGTGACCCGGGCCGGGCCGCGCGGGGGGCCCGGGCGGGGGAGGGGTGGGGCGCCGCAGCCCCTCATCCCCCTATCCGGGCCCTGCGGCTCCCCCAGGGCCTGACTCAGAGCCTCGCGGGCCCCGGACCCCGCAGCCCAGGCCAGCCGTACCCTGCGGTGGCGGAGGCGGGGGACGTGTCACTCCACCCTCGCTCCCACCCCGCAAGGAGCCGGCCGTGCATGGGAAAGGGGAGACGTGGGGTGGGCGGTGGAGAGGGCGCACCCCCAGGGAATCAGTCTTGCAATCTCACTCCGCCTCTCCGCATCCACCCCCGCCCATCCAAACGTCCAAAGCACCCCTCACGGTGGAAGGGGGGAACCCAGGGCTATCGCCCTACGGTGGAGTCAGGCCCCTCCCTCTAACGACAGTCTCCCCGGGTGGGGGCAGCGAGGCGGCAGCCCGGGGCAGGTGGGAGGGAAGGTGGTGGCAGGGCTCGTGCAGATACTCAGAGGGGATGGGACATTATTGCTTATCATTCTGGAGGCACCACAGACCACCCTGCCCTGGCTCCCCCGCCACAGCAGGGCTGTAACACCAAAGGGAAATGAGATTCTGCCAGCCCAGCACAGGCTGGTCAGCGCCATCGGCTTCCTCTGGCCTAGGGGAAAGGCGTGACTTTCAAAAATCAACTCTCTTCTTTTAAAAAGCATGATTTCCTTTCTAACCAGCTTCCGATAGGTTGGGGAGGTGCTTGGGGTGGGTGTTTGTGGAGGACAGTTACATTTGCATGAGATGCACCGCCCTCCAGGTGCCCGGTGTGGGAGAGCTCAGGCTCTGCGGAACCCCGGAGGCCCCTGCCCAGCCCTGCCAGCCCCCCGGCCCACCTCTGCCTTCCCAGGGCCCACTCCGCAGGACCACCTGTCCCCACCATTTCAATTCTTGCCTGGACCACCACCAGGCCCGCTGTCCAACAGTGTGCTCCCCCCAGAGTTCATCTTCCGAGCCAACTCTGACTGGCAGGACGTGTCCCTGCCCAGAAACAGCTAAGAAGCACCCCCCCGCCGCCCCAAAACTAAGTCCAACACCTCAGCTGCCTGCTGCAGCCTCTGCCTGCTCGGCCACCCAGCCCTCCCCTCTCAGGCCCGTGACAGAGAACAGGAGGTGCAGGAAAGCCTTCGTGCAGCTGCCTTCCTGCCCAGCCCAGGGCCGCGTGGTGCCGTGGGAAGAGTATGGACCGAACACCCAGCTGAACCCCTGCGTGGACCAGGCGTGGCGTCGCCTCCCTCTGGGTCGGCCTGGGCGGGCATCTGGGGCTCAGTAATGCTCATGGTGGTTTATGGGACTGACCGTAAACCAGAGGAGCCAGAGGAGGGGCCTCCAAGACCCTAGTGGTGTCTTTGAGGAAAGTGAGTCCCAGAGTCCCAGAGAGGGAGGTGACTGTACGCAGCCTCTGCTCCCCGCCCCCACCATACACAACAGTTCATCTCCTTCCTGTGCTCTTTCCTTCGCGTGGGCTGGGGGCGGGGGGCGGGGGGGGCTTCAGGGCTAGGCTCAGCCCACCTGGGGGAAACCAAAGAGGGGGCGCCCGGAGCATGGGAGCAGAGAGCTCCCAGCTCCCCAGACCCTTGGCTGTGCACACAGATAGCAGCCCCGCCCCCGTCCCCTTGGCTTGCCGCAGACCATCAGTTCCCGGCTGGGGGCTCCCAGGAATCCCTCTCTGGGCCTCCCCGGCTCCCATCCACAGCCAGGGCAGGGACGGTGATCGGCTCCACTGGCGTGTGGGGTGGCTGCTCCAGTCCCCCCACCATCTGGGTGCCCAGTAGGGCCACAGTCTTGGGAGCCCTGGAGGCTGTCTGCACTAGCGGTGTAGTCCCCGGAAGAGGACTGACCCCCTCTTAAGTGCAGGCCCCGGCCCCACCCTGAGGAGGACCATACTGGCCCCTGCATGCTGGGCACCTGCACCCCAGTGGACCCCCAAGCCACCACGGCTGGCTCCCCGTCTGGCACGTGAGGTCCCTGAAGGCCACAAGGTCCAAGCCAGCTGGGGTGGGTTTCCGCCCCGCCACTGACACCCCGATTGCAGACTGAGGCGGGGAGTACAAGCCCTGCCCTGTGGGAAGGGCACCAACCCAGCCAGGGGACAGAGACGTAGTCCAGATGCCCGCCTTGGGCCCCCACCTTCCCCAGTGAACTTGACCAAGCCCAGCGCTGCCCAGGTGTCTCTCTCCCCAGGCGAGGGCTTCAGCTTCTGTTCCCAGACCCCGGATGTCGTGGCCCCCCTGTGGCCCCTGAGCGGGCTGTATGTGGCTGGTGAGGGGCCGGCCTCCCTGTCCAGGTGGGATGGGGGTGGGGAGAGCTGACACCGCCCGTGGAGGCTCTGCCGCTGCAGTGAGAGGTCCCAACAAAGTGGATGAGCTGGGCAGGTGTCACGGAGCCAAGAGGACAGTCTCCAGGAGGGGCACGGGCTCGAGGCGGGATCTGCAGAGGGACTTCCAGGGTTGTGCTTTGCGCTTCAGGCCATCCTGAGAAGGCCGTTCCATCCGGAAACACAGGCCATGTGGGGCTCCCAGGATCTGCTTCTACTGGGGTTCCTGGTGCTGGCGGCGGGTGGCACCGAGCACGTCTACCGGCCTGGGTGAGCCAGGGCTCGGGCCTCTGGGTGCTCGGGAGGCGGGGGTGTGCGGCCGGGAGCCCTTGGCCCCTCCGCAGGGCAGCCCCCAGTGTTTGCGGAGCCGTGGCTTCCCTGTGGCTCCTGCCGACGGTGTTTCCCATGGTGACGCTGGGAAATCCCTTCCCCACTTTCCGGCTCCTTTGGGCTCTGGGGCTGGGAGGGTCACAGCCCTGGGAGCCCCCCCACTGACTTTCTGGCCCCCATCACCCCATAGCCGCAGGGTGTGTGTCATCGGGGCTCCCAGGGGCCCCGTGTCCGAGTCCTTTGTGCAGCGTGTGTACCAGCCCTTCCTCACCACCTGCGATGGGTACCGAGCCTGCAGCACCTACCGGTGAGCGCCGCCTGCCGCCGCAGGGCCCCATCTGCCTCGCGCAAGCCCTGGGGCCGGGAGGGCAGTGCGCCCCAGAAGGGAAACCGAGGCCCAGAGCAGTAAAAGGACTCGAGTGCCCAGAGCAGTAAAAGGACTCGCCGAGGCCACGTCTGAGTGGGTGGCGGAGACTGACACCTGTTGTAACCTGGGCAGTCCCGACTCAGGAAGTTACCGCCGTGACCTCAAGTATCAGCTGCTACAGGGCGTCTGGCGCATCCTCTCCCCACCCTCATTTTAGAGGGTCACCCACCCTGTCTGCCCCCCTCCACTTTGGGGGCGCTCCCACACCCACCCAGCATCGCTGGCTGCAATCTCCTACCCGCTTGACTCCCTGAAACCTTCCTCATCCTGGCCCTGCCCTTGGGGCTCCAGTGGGCACCCCTCTCCCCATGGCAGCCCCCAGCAGTTACAGATGGAGATCCTACCGCCCCCAACACCTAGGACGTCCCAGTCTGTGCCAGTGTGAGGGGCGTGCATCTCTGGTTCTCTGCTGCGGGAATGTGGCTTTAAAAGATTTTATTTTCTGTGAGGTTCTTGAAGACCTCCCTGGTGGGGGGTGGGAGATGGTGTGGCAAGCCCCTTCCCCTCAGGGCCTAGATCCCCCGCCCCTAGAATAGGAGGCTCTCCGCAGGGGTGCCACCTCTGCTCCACGCCAGGCTCAGCCAAGCTTCCTTCCAAGCCTCGGGGTCCTGCTCAACACGGCAGGTTGGGCCGGGGAGGTGGCTTGTGCTGTGACCCTGAGGTGCCACCCCTGGGGGAGAGGACCTCTGGGGGCACACCTGGGTGACCTTGTCCACGCTGGGGGAGACGGCTCATGTGGTTCTGGAGGGCGTAGGGACGGAGCCAGCCTGGAAGGCCAGCGGCTGGGAAAGCCCTGGCCAGGGCCCAGGAGACCTGGTGGCACCAC